CATGCTGCTTTTGTTGCTTGTGGATGTGTACCCAGTAGACTGCTGGATCTATGACAGTTCCATTTTTAATTTCCATATCTACCACATAATATCCACCACTGATATACTTGGAGTTCTTTGAACACACCATTCCTGTCCTAATTCATGGAGCATCTTCCTTTCACTTTTATATAGCACTTTACAACCCATCTATGGCTTGGTATTAATGTTTGTGTCTGGATGTCCCCTCAAATCCACATACAGTCATAGGGCAGACTTTTAGAGTTAATGATTGATTCATGGTCCAATGTTGGAATTATGGGTGTGAGTGCTACACCTGTCCTGGGGTGAGTAGTTTACATTCAGTGTAAGGAAGGAAGAGAGGCTGCTTATGGCTGCCACTCCTCCCTTTTGCTCTGGCTGTTTTGCTGTCTTCTGCCACCATGAACAGTTGCCCTCTGCCATGAGCCACCCTGCCTTGGAGCCAGCAGAATATGGACTGAAACCTCCACAAACAGTGAGCTAAATAAACCTTTCCTTCCTTAATTTTGGGCATCAGGTATTTTGTCTCAGCAATGAGAGAAAAGTAACCAAGACACTTGAACTTTCCAGAAAACTTTCCTAGGCCTGTTGCTCCCATCCCTGTAGATCTAGGTCTTGTTTTCTCTGTTCTCATAAATCAAGGTTCTTATTGCTGAATTTAGCATGCTGTTTGTTATTTGGTATGCTTTGTTTTTCTCTGTGTGTGTAGTATTGGGAATTCAACTCAGGGCCTCTGTACTGAGCTACATTCTCAGCCCCTTTCAGTTTGGCTCTGCTTTTGTTTTTGTTTTTGAAGGGGAACTAGAATCTTACTAAGTCACTAAGCTGCTCAGGCTGGGCTCAAACTTGTGATCCTCCTACCTCAGCCTCGCAGTGCTGAGATTACAGGTATGCACCACCATGCTCAGCTGAGTTTAGTACATTGCTAGAATGATATGTGGGTGGTAGCCTTCTCCCACGGTAGATTGCATATTTCCTTCAAGGTGAAGAATATATGGGTAGTTTCCTGCAGTTGACAGCCCCAATAATTGCTCAGTATATATTTGAATGTCAGAGCCACTAAGACTCAGTTCACTATATTGGCCCCAATTTTTTTTTTACTTTTCTTTTATTTTAAAGAGAGTAATAAATGAGAAACAAACAAACAAATAAATAGAACAGTAGCAGCATACCAGTATCACAAACATAAACAAATCAAAGCAAGAACATTCAAAGTAGTACAGGGTCTCAAGACAAAATAACATGAATCAACAGTGATTGTTACATTACATATTACTATCCTCAACTACATTGCTCAGATTACCAGAAGTAAGAATGAAAGATTTCTCAAACCATTATAGGGAATAAGAGAATAATTCTTTGATAAAACTGTAGAGATAATATGGAGTTTCACTAAACAAGATGGTAGGAGTTCACCATTGTAATTCCATTGCATACTGTTACCTTCAAATCAGTTGCTCAGACCACCAGACACAAGCATGCACAATCGATCAGAACATAAAAAATTGTAATCATTAACTGCTCATTTCAATACACCATCAGAAATCAGCAATACAGCTGTCACAGCTATTCATATACATATATTTATATTTTGTGTTTCTTCTTTCTTCTTTCTTCTTTCCCTCATCCCAGTCATTCCTTCCTTTGAGCAATTTGTTTCCCTTTCCTATCATCTACTGTATGTTTTGAGTTTTACCTAGTCTTTCAGGTTCCTACACCAAGACAATATGATGTTTACCCATCTGGGTCAGATTTATTTCACTTACAAGTATGGTCTCTAGTTGCATCCATTTACCTACAAGAGCCTCAAGATTATCTTTTTTACTATCTGAGTAATACTCCACTGTATAAAAATGCCCACTTCTTTTCTATCCATTCCTCAGTGGATGAGCATCTGGGTTGTTTCCAAGATTTAGCTATAACAAATTGTGCTGCTATAAACATGGGTGCATATATATCACTGTGGCGTGATATCTTTAATTCTTCTGGGAAAATATCCAGAAGGGGAATAGCTGGGTTAAATGGGATTTCCAATTCTAGTTTTGTGAGGAATCTCCAAACTGATTTCCACAGTGGTTTCACCAATCTACACTCCCACCAGCAGTGGAGCAGGGCTCCTTTCTCACCACAGCCTCTCCAGCATTTGATTTCTTGATGATAGTCATTCTTTCTGGGGTGAGATGGAATCTCGGTATGGTTTTAATTTGCTCATGGAAGGGGCTGGGGATTTAGCTCAGCGGCAAAGCACTGCCTGGCAAGTGCAAGGTCATGAGTTCAATTCCCGGTACCACAAGAAAAGAAAAGAAAAATAATTTGCTCATGGATTTAATAACCAAATTCAGTAGTGTAGCTGGATACAAAGGTAACACTCAAAAATCAATAGCATTCCTGTACACAAGTAACAAACAGACTGAGAGAGAAATTAGGGAAACCACACCTTTCACAATAGCATCTAAAAAGATGAAATACTTAGGAATCAATCTAACAAAAGAAGTAACAGATCTATACAGTAAAAATTATAGTACTCTGAAAAAAGAAATCAAATAGGATATTAGAAAATGGAAAGATATTCCTTGCTCATGGATAGGAAGAACAAACATTGTGAAAATGGCCATACTCTCAAAAGTGCTGTACAGATTCAATGCAATCCCAATTAAAATATCATTAATATACCTCAATGATGTAGAGAAAACACTCCTAAAGTTCATGTGGAACCAGAAGAGGCATAGAATAGCAAAAGCAATCTTGGGAAACAAAGGAAAGGCAGAAGGCATCACAATTCCTGACTTAAAATTATATTACAAAGCTACTGTGATAAAATCAGCATGGTACTGGCACAACAACAGACCTGAAGATAATGGAACAGATTAGAAGGTGCAGATACAACTATAAACACACTCAGTTACCTTATCTTCAACAAAGGGGCCAAACATGTTCAATGGAAGGAAGATAGCCTCTTTAATAAATGGTGCTGGAAAAACTGGCTTTCCACATACCAGTGACTAAAACTAGACCCATGTCTTTCACCATGCACTAAATTAAAGTAAAAATTGATCAAAGATCTAAATATTAAAACAGAAACACTAAATTTATTGGAAGAGAAAGTAGGTAAAAATCTTGATGACATAGGGGCAGGCAGAGAGTTCATGAACAAAAACCAAACTGCATGTGAAATACTTCAAAGAATCAACAACTGGAATCTCATCTTATTGAAAAGTTTTTGCACATCTAAAGAAATCACTAATAAAGTAAAAAGAAAACCCATGAATTGGGAAAAAATTTTAGCCAACTGCTCCTCAGACAAAGGACTTCTTCCTAGGACACATAAAGAATTAAAAAAAATCAGGTCCCCCAAATTCAAAGACCCAACCCAAAAACGGGCATCTGAGATGAATATACACTTCTCTAATGAAGAAATACTAATGGCAAATAAATACATGAGAAAATGTTTAAAGTCATTGGTCATTCAGAAATGCAAATTTTTTTTGTGCCAGTGATCAAACTCAGGACCTTGCGCGCTTGTCAAGCAGGTGCTGAGCTATATCCCCAGCCACTTGGCCCCAATTTATATGCTAGGTAGAGCCAAAGACATTTTAGATATTCACATATCACTTTAGATATTCGTGTAACACTTATATGTTAGGGACTTTGCAAGAAGTCACAGATAGAAGGTATAACTAAGACAATATAACTCCTTCTTTGGGTCATCATACTTAAAGTTATATGTCATGCCAGGCATGCTGGCACACATCTGTAATCTCAGTACTCAGGAGGCAGAAGCAGGATGATTGCCACAGGTTTGAGGCCAACCTGACCTACACAGTGAGGTCAAGGGAATCCTGAACTGTATAGCAAGACAGTATCTCAAAAAAATCCCTGTATATCTTGTGCTATGCTAAAGCAACTATCCAAGTACTTTGAAACTCAGATGAGTCAGCTGGAATAATTCTGCCTGAGAGAATTGAGACTTTACAGGGCAAGTGACAATCTGATTGTATTGCTTGACAGTAAAGTATAAGTTTTTAGTGACTTGCAGTCACTTTTAAATCCTAGTTTACCCGTGTGATCTTGAGAAAGTTTCTCATCTCTTGCTCTTCAGTGTTCTTACCTGAAAAGGGGGATAAATATCATTCTTATCTCAGGGTTGCCATGAGTGTTAAGTGAGACAGTGAGACAGTGTAAGTCTAGTACAAAATCTGATACATAATAAGCACTTCGTCACTGGTAGCAATTATTTCAATGTTATAATCAGATCTTGAGGGATTCAAATCAGCAAACTTGAAAAGGGATAAGGAGAGAAATTCTAGAGTAAGGTATGGTCAACATTATACACAAGGTTTGTTGAAGCAAAAGTAGCAACAACTGAAGCTAGAATTCACTTAAATTATCTGTCAACCAAACCACTGACTATATTTGAAGGACTCATAGCATGGTCTGGTGGAAATTATGTTGGATTTTAAAAGCAAGAATCTTACCCTCTAGTACAACTCTAGCCATCCTATTACTCTATTATTTAGCCACAATTTCTTCATCTGTAATGAAAGGATGCTGAAATTGGGCAGTGATGACTGCCTACCCTATCCCCTACACCCATGGAAGCTACTCACTAAAAGTTTCTCTTCTCTGTCAAGTTGAGATGGAGCCTTGGTATCTCTCTCAACAGCTTCCCAAGCATCTATGTTCAGATGACTCAGGTAAACTCTCTCAGGTAACACCATCTCTGATCTAGATGTTTATCAATTTTTTCAGCTCTGTGAAAAATGTCAGATTTCTTAGATAACTGGAAATTTTTACGCTGTGCTGAAATAATATTTACACTGACTTTTCATTGCTAGAGCTCAGCTCTAATATATAAACCTTATGTTGAAGCCTGATAAGATAGTATTTACCTTAAAGTTATCAGAGATTCAACTCATGTTGAAAAAGTTATTCATGCGTGCTCAAAACTTAACTTGATTTGGTGTTTCACTTAATTTCAGATCTGAAAATTCATCTCCAGACCACTGATTATGGGAACTTTTTGGCGAATGAGACAAATCCTCTTACTGTTTCCAAAATTGACACAGAGATGAGGAAAAAACTCTGCAGGGAATTTGACTATTTCCGGAATCATTCGCTGGAGCCCCTCAGCACCTTTCTTACCTACATGACGTAAGTGACGGCAGGAAACTCTATTCAGCCCCAATGTGATTGCACAATCTGCTTCTAAAGTTGCAGGTTACATATTTAGCTGGAGTAAGACTTTAGACCTTTTCCATCATTTATAAGTATACATACACTCAAACTTTAGCAGCTAAAAAACTCACAGCCACATTTTCACATTAGAAAAAAGATTTCATATTCTTACAAAAGTGACTATGTAAACGGCAGTGGCCTCCACATAAAGCAGTGTTTTCAGTTTTCATATAAAAACTAAGTACTGCTGCTGCTTAAAGTATCTGTACTAAGATAAATGTTATATGAGACTTTTATATGATTTGTAGGATGGAATTACAGTATTACAAATTGTTCTTATGGTCACTTCTACCTCCCTGATTCTCCATAGTTGAACTCCAGCATAATAGTAAATTGTACCTTTTATTAATCCAGTTAATACGTTATATCCAAAGTTCAAATGAGCCATTTAAAATAATTTTGCGCCTCTATATTTGTCTTAGCTGCCAAGCTGGGAACAAAGGGCAGTTCTGCAGGGGCTGTGCATTATGCAGACAAGATTTGGATGTGATGTCCAAAGGTGGGACCACTAGGCCCACACCTTACACTGCTGCCTGGCACCCAGGCACTCAATACATTTGTGTAAAGATGTTCACAATAAAGCAAGTCCTTGGTTGTATAAGCCAAAACTTATGTCAAAAAGGAAAAAAAGAACAGTAATCCAGGTCAAAGTCTGTGTTTATTACTAGAGATAGAAACCTAGAAAAATGTGCATTAAAAAATGTTACTGTTGGAGTGCATGTGGGGAGGCTGAGAGACCAGCAAGATTCCAAGGCAATATGAGAAAGGCTGGACAGGAAGATGGCGGAAATGAGCCTTCTGTAAAGGTAATCTAAGCTCTGCCCCACTGACCGCAAACATATACAATAGTGCTCCCTCTGGGACCTGGGAGGAGGAGAATCAGCTCATCTGACCAGGAGCGCCCTCCCCCACTCCCTTATTCCTTCTTCCACCCTTCCATTTCTCCATCATCCATTCTTCCATTCCACAAGTATCGTTAGTTCTGCCCTTGAGTCCAGCAAACAAGAGAGAACTAAGAATATCCAAATGTGTCTGCCGAGCCACACAAAACCGCATGGGCTCTAACTGATACAGGTTCCTTTCGTTTGAGAGGAAAATAATATGCCAGTCAGCAAAAGTTCTCACACTGGGACAGACATTTCTAAGAATCTAAATAAGATAAACAGAAAGTACTTCGTGGAACAGAACTTCATTCCCAAGCTTTTAACACACAGAAAAATTAATATAAACTTTCTGTTATTCATACTAGGCAAAACCAGAAGTAAAGTAAGGCTATTTCTGTTTAGGAGTTCATATCACATCATGGTTTTCAAAGGTGAACTTTACTCCATGAATAGTTCAGAGGAAAAATGATTTGGGAGTGTAGTTCAGTAGTAGAGAACTTGTCCACTCAGCACTAAATAAAGAGTGAGAGGGAGAAGCAGGAGGGGAAGGGAGGGAAGAGAGAAAAGGAGAAGAAAGTATATTAGTTATAACCGTACAGGATTTTAGGAGAGCATAACAATTATTCCATTCTACTTGTTCCCTTCTCTACCTTGTTCTCCCAAAAGTAACCACCTTTCAGTTTCTTATGTGTCTTCCTTTTTAAAAAAGTACTTCTGTTTATATATCACTGTTCCTACACACTCTGCCCAATCAATCCACATGGGAAATGTGTGCATAATGACATAATTTTTCTATGTTTTGTTCTCTCTTAACACCTAGGGTCTTCTTATATGCTAAGTGTGCTCTCTGCCACTGAGCTAAAATTCAGTCATGTATTCAGGTCTTGAATGTATTTCTGAATTTAACTTATAGCTCTGGAAGTGGTAAATCAAAGAAATGTGTATATTGTATTTTGGTAAATAATGCTAAATTGTCTTCAACAAAGGCTGCACCACTATAGCAGTCCACCAGAAAGCCCGTATCTCCACACAATTACCAACACTCGAAATTCTTTTCAGTTTTTCTCAATAGGTTAAAAATAGTATTTTTGCTCCAATTTATAGCTTTTTAATGAATGAAATTGGTTATTTCATGTGTATTACTTATGTGTATTAGCTATGTGACCACATACTTCACCTATTTTTTACTTGGAATTTTCAGCTCTTTTCAATTGATATGTAAAATTGTGTAAATTAAGAAAGTTAGCCCTAAGTCAGTGTGGTGAATCAAAGAAATGCCCATAGCTCAAAGGCGTAAGCAACTGGATGCAGCTGAGATACATGGTTAGTACCCACGGTTCCCATTTGCCATAATCAGTGCTCCTATCAGCACCCGTGTCAGGGTTATTCTCCCCATCTTATTTATAGGCAATATACAGATGGAAAGTCCTCAATGCTAGGCTAAGAAAGTGGGTTTTACCACATCAGAGTACTACAAGATGTCCTAATTGTGTGGGAGTACAAGTAATAATCAAAATGCTAGACAATGTTTTAGAATATTTAATATACGCCAGGGGTTCTAAGTGCTTTACAAACATTGCCTCATCTAACACTTCTAAGTCTTTCAGTGTGTGGGGCTGGGTGGGGGTACACTCTTGGCAAGTCTCATGCAATTGTCATCACTGTTCTAAAGATTTTAAGTGGAAGCTAACGCTCCAGTGCAGTGACATTCTTGGACAAAAATCTAACAGATGAAGAAGTCATGATTCAAAGTAAATGTTAGCAGTGGATTTTCTAGAATAGTTTTGCTCAGAATTTAGTTGAGTTTAGAAAATCTGACCATGATGATGGCAAAGGTCATCATCCAGTTTTAACTGGATCAGGAAGCTGCCAGTTTCTATTCTTTAAGATTGGGAGACAGATCTCACAGAAAAAGGAAATTTGCCCAATACGTACCAGGAATGGTTCTAATTCTAAGAATGACTGTGAGTCATTTGGTCAATGGTTCTTCTCACATGATAAAATCACTGATTTATTGTTTCCTAATTATAGAATCTTAGTCTTGAAGGAGCCTTAGCATCAACTAGGCAAGCATCCTATTTTCAAAATGAGCTGCTATATTAAACTGTAGTCTGTTTCTTAAAACAAATTATTTAAAATTCCAAATATTTCCAGTCAATAATAGTGTTTAAAAATTGTATTCAAGAGTACACATTGTTACATACACACAAATACGTTCGTGTGTGCACATACACACACACACACACACGAATATTAATAAAAATCTGGGCCAGGTCTGGTGATGCACACACCTAATCTCAGAACTCTGGAAGGCTAGAAGGCGGAGTTCAAGCCCAGGGTGGGTAACTTAATAACTTAGCAAGGCTCTGTCTCAAAATAAAAAAGGAAATAGAGATTAGATAGAGATCTTCTGGATCTCTATCTATGTTTTGTCCCACCATGGCAACAGTCTGTGTAAATGACCAGCCCTGGCAGCATCCCGCTACTTTCTGCAGAGCTTGGAGATTTTTTTCAACAGTGAAGGTTGGAAAAATGGGGGAATGGTGTCCCACTGTTCCAAAACTATTTTTCTTATTTCTCCTCCAGAATGTTTTGCACAGGCAGGTATTTACTTAGCACCCATGAACTTCCAATCAAATAGAATTACTTCCTCTCCTGATAAGAAATGAACAAGGCAACATCATAGAGATGACTAAATCAACCCTAGGAGAAGCAGTCTAAGTTTAAGTTGCTATAAAAAACATAATTTTAAGTATAGCACATTTTATATGATATAATTACTGTACATGAGAAACTTGTTTTGAAAATCTGGAGCAGATATTTTTAAATTCTTAATAGCAGGAAGATCTGGAGGTTTTGTATACTATAATTACACACAGTTTATGAAACAAAGGAATGAATCTGGTAGCATTTTAATAAAGACTATTTAATATAGGCCAAGGTTGTTTTTTCTTCTTTCCTACCCAACCTTTTCCAGCAGCATTTCTACTTGTCATCTTTTTGAAATTAGCCTACTTTTTTAGAATAATCTCTCTAGTATTCAAAGTACTCCACCTCAAAGGCTGTAAGATTTTTGAACAGAAGATGATCAAAGAAGTAGTCTCCAGTACCTTCATGGTACAGTTGGTTCTCCATATTTGTGGGTTCCCCATCTGCCAATTAAATAAACTATGGTTCAGAAATCTTAGAGAAAAATTTCATCCTTACTGAACATGTGCAGACATTTTCCTTGTCATTATTCATGAACAATATAGTATAACAACTATTTACATACCATTTGCCTTTTACTGGGTATTGTAAGTAATCTGGAAATGATTTAAAGTATATGGGAGCCAGGGATATATCTCACAAGCAGAAGCACCTGACTGACAAGCACAAGGTCCTGAGTTCAATTCCTGAAACCAAAAAAAAAAAAAAAGTAAGGTATATGGGAGGATATTTGAAGGTTATATATAAATACTGTGCCATTTAACATAATGGCTCTGAGAATCCTCAAATTTTGGTATCTGCAGAGAATTCTGGAACAAACCCTTCCTTCCCCACACAGATGCTGAGGTAGGGGGGTAGTGCAAAATCTCAGGTTAAAGACCTATAACTGCAGAGAATATGAGATCGAGGGCTGAACACTGAAGAAACCTTTGAAGGTTCCTTTACAAAGGCTAATCAGAATTTTTCACTACCCAACTGAATTGCAAAGAATGTACAGACTTCGCCATGTGTATTCTGGTGCTGCACATGGCAGGACTCTCAGTGCTAACACCAGGAAGGTCCACAGCCATCCAGATGAGTGTGTCCACCTATTACCACCTGGTACGCAAGAAATGAATGCCAAAGCTCTGAGTCATGAGGAGCTTCCATTGAAATGAAGCAAGGAGAACTGTCCACAAATGATGAAAAAATAAGACAGGATCAAGAGAAAGCTATTATAGAGGCTTCAGCAGTCAATCAGAGGAGCCTGGATAACTGGAAATAACTAGTTCTGACTTTAAAAGATTTTGCAGAGAGCAGAATCTGAGCCAATACTGATCTCAG